GCAACAGCAAGCTATCTCTTGCAACCAATGGTTACCAGGGGGTTAGTGAGTGGCCTGTAGGCCTGCATAACTGTGGCTTCAGTAATTGATTTAACAGAAATTGCCAGCAGCCACTCTCAACCAGTCAGGGAATACTTTTTTCCCTAGCAACCACTGGTTGCCAGGCGAGAAGCCAGTCTCTAGTCCTGTATGACTGGAGCCTTAAGTAAAAAGTGTCAATGCATCTGTTTGATTTTGCAGAATTATCTAACAAAACATTAACAGCAACACTGTTGTTAATTTTTGTCATGGAATAAATCTGTAATTGAGGTTTTTTCAGACGTGACAGTTAACAATGTAACATCAACTTGGCCGAAAAAATGATTATTCCCTGATTGATTGTGTTTGGTTGCTGGAGGTTGACAGCTGGTTGCTGGGAAAATAATTGCCAAAGCCTCCAGGCACACAGACCGACCGTCAGGGACCGTGATTGCTTTGTTTGCTAGCATATAAACTTTTACCTTTTACCATAAATTTCTTAATTTGTCAGTTTTTTAGTCCAAGAGATGATTTGGGGATACTTGTTGATAGCTTTCAAATTATATCACATACCCAAAAATGTGGCAACCAATAAGGTGTCAATGGCACAATAGGATTCTATACTGGGAAATATTCAAAAATTGATAGAATATCATAAATAGACTACCTTTAAACCATTTACGTTGCCTTGTTCTGAAGTATATCAAGGAGTTTTTGGTCATTGGCCCCTTATGTGCCGTATATATATTCAGCATGTATATGCAGAACACACACGTGTGTGTGTGTGTGTGTGTGTAAAGGTGCATGTGAAGGTTGTTCTTGCAGAAGCCTGCCAATTGCACTGATAAACTAAGCTTTTGTTTCCGCTTTTTGTCTTCAGGTGCAGAGTTTCTTCTCTGTTTAGATTCAGATTAATGATTGAGCCTTTTGGGAGAGTTTATCTGGAGTACTTGCGTAATGTCCAGCTTTTACCAAGGGAAGTGTTGTCTTGACTATCTGATGAATGTTTACTATCTCCTCTGCACACATGCATTCACATTAACTCAAACATTCACAGGAGTCCATTCTCTCAGCTTGTCTGAAATGCTGGCTAGGCATAGCAATGAGATGTTGTGCGGATGGATTTAAGAAAGAGGAACATTAATCACAAGCTACAAGTATCAGTTAGAGCACACACACATACAGCATTTGTATCGGGCAAACAGCATTGCAATTGAATGAGATGCACAGCAAGCTCATTCAATATGCCATCCCTTTGTTATCATCCTGGGACATTGCAGCTGCAGAGGGTGTCTGTGTGTATTTGGGTTGATATCTGTATGTGTATGTAACCAATAATAAACAATAACTAATAATTACCTTTAAAAAAAAAAAAGTAACCTAACATCACTTTAAATTTACAGTTTTATTCATAATACAGAAGAAGTGGAAGATAGTTCTCATTTGCTAATTTATTACTGAGAGACTAATGATGAGAGGATTGATAAATTCTCACACCTGGGTAGTAACTATTAGCTTAGCTTAGTATAGCTAGCTAGAAACAGCTAGCCTACATCTAAAAGAGATAAAGAAAATCCACTTATTGACACCTCTGATGCACACTAATTAATTTCTTATATATGAATGACTTAATTTCATCAAAAAAAACCCCCAACATTTAAAAAAAGAACAACATTGATCTTTAGCTGGACTGTTAGCATTAGCAGCTAATCTGCTTGCCAGTCCTGTGAGCTGTTGTAGTTTATTATGTTACGTGACTTGATAGATATCTTTCTAAGCTACGTTTGTATTTGTTATATCTAACATATCTTATCTTAATTTTGATTAGATTAAAAGATAATTATTATATACTTGGGTATTATAATGAACTTATAATAAAATACAGCAGTTTAAAAAGCTTTAGTGTTTCTTTCCTATAGACTCAATAAATAAATGAAGGTTAAGTCATTTTCTGATGGTGGACTGATTGGACACAGATCTAAGATTACTGAAAAAAAAACAAAAAAAACTTAACCTTATCTCAATCTGTAGTTGTTGCTGTGCTGTCAAAAGCTAAGTACATCCTTACTTCTTGCATAGGACTTAAGTGGGTATGTAGCAAGCAGCTGCTACTAATTAAATGCACCTGATTAATTGAAAAACCTTTGGCTTAAATGTTTTGGCAGCTTGCTGGTCTGAAGAATTCAGGTGTGTGTTAACACAATGCCACAATCTTCCCAGAAGTGGATGTCCCAGTAAATTCACCCAAAAGTCAGACCTTGCATTGCTCAAAGAAATTTTTTAAAAGATACATCTCAGTTCATGGCAGTACAATTAGAAACTGACTGAACATGTTTGGCTTATTTGGAACGCTTGTCAGACCATGCCTGTCTACTAAAGTATTCTAGATTTAAATGTGAGGCTATCTTTCTGAGAGCTAAAGCTTGTCCTAAATTGGGTCAAATCAACAGGACAATGGTCCCAAGGACAGCAACAAATCTACAAATGAACAGAATACAATCAAGATGCTGCAATAACACGGTCAAAGTCTAGAGCTTGACCTGAGTAAAGTGCTGTCACTGGACTGTAAGAGAACGATGCATATAGCAAATTAAAGAAGCCTACAAACCTCAATGAACTGAAGCAGCATTGTAAAGAAGAATGGACCAAAAGTCATACAGAAAACAATTATTTCAAGATATTCCTGCAAAATGTGCTTCTTAAAAGTTATTGATATACTTTTTACTTTTCACAGTACTGCATTAGAGTCCTGTAAAACCTTTCTTTCTTAAGAAAGAACCAAATGAGTTACCCAAACTCTCAAACTCTTCCTTTAAGGTTAAGTGGGCCAACTCAAAATGTGACACTAGAGCAAAATAACCCTGATTAGCTGGCACGACAATCTATTGTTGAGATTCTTAACCAGAAATGTTTTCCTGTGAGACCCTCAGTGGAATTAAAAAGGAGCTTTACTTAGCCCAGTCAGGACGTCTGGAAATCAGGCTAATGAATATGTAACGAGGATGTCTTTGTCTCGCCCTCTAACTCTAGAAAGTAAGTCTTAAAGCTTTGAAAGGATACATAAGGTAACCTACAGGGTGTGCCTGTATGTGTGTGTTTACATGTATTAGATATTCTTTATACTGAATGTAGGCAGGGATTGTGTTTAATATTCTTCGTATGATAGAGTCATCCAAAGATTTAGCTTTCCCCCCCTTCATTCGCTTTATTTTTAATATCAGTATATCTCCATCCATCTGTCACACCCAGATATGTTTATCTCATCGCCTATCTGTCCTTCATTTTTCTTCCCTGTCATCCAACCTCCGTTTTACCTTAAACACACTCCCATTCCTCTTCTGCTTCCTTTCTCTTTCTCCTAAACGAATTCCCCCTCCTTCCAGGTAAAAGTGCCGTCTTTTTGTAGAAGTCAGAGAACACGTGATTCTATGTATATGTTACTGTATTGTATATTGCGCAGCAGGAAGATGCTTGACAACGTTTTTTTTACCCAGCTTCCATTCATGCCAATAAAGATTTTTTGATTTGATTTGAGAGAGACAGAATGCAGGAAGAGAAGAGAGATCTTTGCTCGTCAGCTCTGACAAGGATCTGTAGACTCACTGGTCCATGTCGGACTGAAGTGTCATCTCCAGTTGCATGTCCAAGCATATCATTAAGAAGACATCTTTTGTTGCAGTCAGTCACGGCTGTCTTTTGAAAGTGAGTGTGGAGTTCTGGGTGTTTGCACACATCAGCTCTTTCTCTGCTCAGAGACCTCAAAAAAAAAAGAGAAAAAGAAAAAAAGGAAGAAATTTTAAGACAAGAGCGTAAACACGCTGGTAGACACTGTGGCCTCATTTCCATTCTGAATGCCTGCAAAAACTCATGCTACTACAAGGGTGACAGGCGTGTTTGTGTTATGAATCTGTTTTAATGCCAAAGGTTGCATCACATGCTGAACTGAGGCTCAGCAGCCGCTCTGTGTAACTGCCTGACACACTGTGTGAATTTTTTCCCCCTCTTTAATACCAAAATCAGAGCGCTTTCTGATGTAACTGCTGAATCACAGCCAATGGGAAAAGATATCCCGGCATAAGACAGACAAACCCAGGTAGATATTATAGATCATCCTGTTCTCTGAGTCCCTGTGCTAGGCCACAGCACCACCTGTTGGTCACGATCAGCTTGGGGAAAAAATCAGATACTCTATTTTCTTAACTTTTAGGAAACTTTAGCCAGTAGACATCAGGCTCTTTTTGTCATATTGGTTAAATGTGCACAGCAGCACATTGCAGATGGAGTTCATGCATGTTTTTGAAAGTTTGATCTTTTCTAATATCTGTTTTTGTTTTGTTTTTATTTGCCTTGAATGCTTTCTGGACTAGTTTATCCCCTGTCTTTAAGTTATTTCCAATTTCTGCAGTGTCCTGTGCACAGAATATGATCTTTTGTGTATATTTGTGTATTGCATATTGCATTAAAAGTGCGCCTGCAAAATAAAGCAGCTGTGCTCTGTGCCGCCGCAACCCGGAATTGGATTAGAGGATGAAAAATGGATGGAAAAAATGACCAAACTTGGAACAACTTTCAGACGCAGTTTTAAGGGTTTGCAAATATACAAAGGTTATACACTGCTCTTCTTTTTGACTTTTTTATTCTTAAAAACTTGCACTGGAACCTACAGCTAGGCCTTTTTTTCCAGTTTTTCTCATTTTTGTCTTTCTTTAGCAGTGTGTCAGGCATCTGGTTGCTTTTCGTAGAATAAAGAAAAAAGTTGACAAGAAGAAACGATTGATTTATATTTTCTCGTCCACATTGCAGCATTGCTGTAACTGTATCCGAACTTGGGCTCTAACCTGGTACCTGGTACTTTTTATCTGGTACTCCTGTTTTTGTTTTGTTTTTAACTTACACTGAACTGAATCTAATATTCTTGATTGTCTCCTTCATTTCCCGCTCTCTCCCTGCCCTTCCTTCCCTCTCTTCATTTACTCCATTAGATTCAACAAAATACAGAACACCAAGAACACAATGAAGAAGGACGGCATCAGCTCTCTGACCTACAGACTGGTTCAAGTCAAGAAGTATCCTCTGTACACGAACATCTCCGTGGAGATCGGCAAGCCACCACCTCGGCCCATTAAGGGCTAGAAGAAATGAAAGAGAGAAAGTGGACGATGTGGGGGAGGATGCAACTGGCCTAGTGAGAGGAAGATGTGAAAGAAGAGAACTTAAAGGATGGAAAGAAAACTGAGAGTGTCTCACAGGCTTCTGAAAGAATATGAAATTGAAAATAAGAGAGCAAAACTTGTCACAAGCACATCATAGTGTCTCTTTCTGCCTCGTTTCCACTCTATTCAGCTTGATATTTCTCTCTTTTAGGACTCAGGCTCTTTCCACCAACAACTTCTTGAAGCAGACAGTGGGTGCTATCACACCTGTAACAATCAATGACTGCAGAATGAATAACTTGTGGACCAAAGGTGGATTATCAGTGGCGTCAAACTTAAGTTTTCCTATCAAACTGGAGGAACTGATGGCGTGTTGACAGCGAGCATTGACAGGAACTGCTGGTGTGTCACGTAACACTTTCTTAAATGTTGACGATGGATTTCTCGTAACGTCTTAAAACTGTCTCCATGAGAAAACACACAGACTGTTTTCATGCATACTTTGAAAATGCAAGAAAGAACTAACTTTGTGTGCATTAACAGCCCCTGGAGTCAAGCTGTAACATTACCACAACGTACTGACATGCAGTGATGAACTGTGTTACTGTGTCTAACGACTTGCATATCAGAGACATCAGCGTCTCTTGCCATGTGATGCTAACAGACAATTTGCTTTGGACATTTTCGTCAGGGAGTCACTTGTTTGGATCTAATTACTCAATCAAACCCTCTGCTATCAATTAATGAATGTGTATTGTGCCTGCATCTACAGCAGAAGACTCAAATGAGTGCTGGTGACACATGAACACGCTGATGAAACACATTTGTCAGCCGCTACAGACGACCGGGAACTCTCTTTTTGTTCTCTGTTTTTATACATATATATGAAGTTAAACTCTGGAAGCAGAAGCTGACTTGTTGAGAGTTTTTCAGCAACAGTAAATGAACTGAAAGGATGAAAGGGTTTCTCCTGTATGCAGTGTACTGAAACTATCTTGGGAGAGCATTTGAAATCAAATGGAGGAACTGAAGACAGCAGGTCTGATACATACTGACAGCTCAGTTATGATTTTGACCCCCTGCAGCACATAAGGAGATTATACTTCTGGAAACTTCTTTTTTTTTTTTCAGTTTATTTTGCTAATATGCACTTTAAAGTCAACATTGAGCTAATACTCCTTTAAAAGATATTGGAAATTTACCATATTTTCTGCACATACAGTATTCCCCTAAGCTCCAGACATCCACTGGTGTTGGTTTTCTTTTAGCTAATGTCACTGTTAATGCTAAATTTGGTTGAAAAGTCAGGGGGTGAAATTTGTTTTGTTTGGATGTCTTAAAAGTTTTAAATTTGGTCCAAAAGTGAACGTTTTATATCAAATTTACCAAATAGGCTAATATTACTGGGCAACCTGTACAGATAGGTCCAAAATTTGTTGGGCAAAGACACAGATTTTGTCATTTGTATACCACCACAGTGGATTTTAAATCACCCAATCCAGATCTGATTGAATGGCAGAGGTTTTGCATTAACCATTTAGGAAATTCAGCCACTTTTATATGCCGTCCCCAATTTTTCAAAGGCTCAAAGTTATTTGGACAATTGGCTGAAAGGCAGTTTCATGGCCAGGTGAGGTCTGTTATCTTGTTTTTTCACAACAAGTGAACCAGACATAATATCTCAAGTTACAGCTCTTCAAAGTAATTTCAAATATGACGCCAAGAGAGATGTAAGTGCAAGTGAGGGAGGCCATTATTAGGTGGAAAAACTGAGATAAACCTATCAGTGACACAGCAAAAACCTTTTCCAAATCAAAAGTCTGGATCATTCTTAAAAACAATGGATGCACTGACCAGCGCAGCAACACCAAAAGGCCTGAAAGAAAAAGAAGACAGCTAAAGTGAATGATAACACAGATGTTGAGAAAAACAACTTCTTGTCTAATGAAATCAAGAATGAACTCAAGGAGGTAATGGTATCATTGTCAAAGTCCACAATCATGAGACACCTTCATGAATGGAAATACAGACGTCTTATAACAAGGTCTAAAACCCCTAATTACACAAGTGAATTGTGAAGTGTACACACTATGCTCTCTGCTCAGATTCAACCATAGTCCAAATGGATAATGACCCAAAGCAATCTGAGAAAGCAACCCAAGAGTTTTTCCTTTAGAGGCAAAGGAATTAGAGATTCTTCAATGACGAAGTCAGTGACCTTATTTCAGCTCAACAGAGCTTTTCAGTTATTAAATACAAAAACAGAAAGCCCCACAAACAAGCAGCAGTGGAAGGTGGTTTTAGTAAAAGCCAAGCCATCTCAAGGGAGGAAACACAGCATTTGCTGATGTCCTTGGGCTCTTGACTCCAAGCAGTTATTGACTGCAAAGGAGTTTCATGAAAGTATTAAAAAAAATCTTTAATCTTTGCTCTTTTACTGGTTTGGTCAATAGTTTTTTAAAAAAATTAACCATTAATTCAAACTTTTTATTAAACCCCTTGAATTGGAATTTGAAGCTGAAAGTCTGCACTTCAGCCACCTATTGATTAAAACCCACTGCACTGTACACATAATTGTAAAAAATTGTCTTTGTCCAACAAATTATGGACTGAACTTCAAGTGTGTATACACATGTAAATGATGTTTTTATTCTCATTGTGTGTTGCATAGTGATGGTATTTGTGTACACCTCTGGAGAGGCTAAACACATTGTTCCAGCATGCTAGAGCAGCACAGTAGGAGCAGGATGAGCGCCGCAGCCTCATAACGAGAAGGTTCCATGTTTGAATCTACAAAACAACAATCGACAAAAAAGGGACATCAATCCATTGATCTGTTCATCAATGGATTGATGTCATCCTGCTGTTCATCCTTTACTTTTTAACCAAATCTTGATGTCGGTCAGACATCTGGCAAAATTGTCTCCCGCCATCATCCCGCCGTCTTTTGAACAAGTTTCTGCTCGGTGGGATGTCGAAGAAATGAGCTGTCAGTTATGTTTTATGAGAAAAAAGCAGCGTGAATACAAAAGCTGACTCTTGTAAGATTTACAAGTGGCTCCACGGGCAGGACAAGATGAAATAATTCTCAAGGTCTCTTTTAAGCCTACAATCTAACTTGGTAGTCTTTTTTTTTTTAAGTGTCACAATTCATTAATAGTCCGTTGATACTATAATATTAATATGCCGTTTTATCTCTCTGCTATCTCTCCTGTCAATCGTTTAGCAGGAGACGATCATATCCGGACGGAGGAAATTATAAGGTGCTGCTCTTTGGCTGGCGGAAATTGTTAATTTTAGGGCAGTAATGAGAAGTTACAGTTTGAGCAGTATGACTGACGTCCCTATTGCTGCTTCAGATTTTATCAGCATCAGCTGTCAAGCCTACATGCTAAACGGTTTTATCACGCATTCAGATTTCACAAACAATGGGCTAAATTAATCCTTTTTTTATTTAAAGTTCTGGAACTTTTTGTCTCATGTTTACTTCTGTCATTTCTTCCATCACCGCATTGAAGTCTTTGACTGTTTTGTACTTTGATGCTTTGTTTTTCTTCTTCCTCTGTTTTCTTTTTCCTGGTCTGTACTGTCAGTGTTGTTATTGTTGACGCCTAAACGCCAAACTGATGCCTTTAGAAGTGATGTGTGCTAAGGGGAAGGGAAGGTTATCTTGAATTCTTGCTTTTGGGCAAACGCGATAGAAATGTGTGTTTTGAGATTGAAAATATTTAAATGTTTGTTTCGGTGCAAAAAGAAAAAAAAGCATTTGCAGTATGTTTTCATGAAAGTGGCAGGGGGTTTGCATAAAGTCTTGCAACTGCAATTTGAACCACAGAGAACAATTTGGGGCTTTTATTTTGGTGAAAATCGAGCACCGTTGGCCTCCTCTTTGGTTAGCCTTGAGGCAAAACTGTTCCCATCTGTTTGGCTCTCTGTTATCTTTGCCTCAAGTTTATTGGAAGGTATCAACGCTCTTTTCTGCACACACACACACCCGAGCACACACGTTCATTCAAACGGTCCACCCCCCCCTTGCTCTTTTTCTTTTTGCATCATCTCCCTTTTCAATGCCTCTTCTTTTGTACTCTGCCAGTTTAGGTTGTTTGTGGCAATGGGACACTGTTGTGCTTTGTGATGGACCCACTTCAGGCGCAGCCGTGCCTCACAAGGGTGCTTCAACTTTCAATAGATATTGACAGGGCCTTTCTTTGAGTCTGTGAAGTCCCGGCCACTTACTGTATCTCCATTTTCTTCTTTCTCGGCACACATCCCCATCCTTGTGTCTCCCTTCTTTTCATGTCCTCTTTGCATGTCGTCATTTTATTTTTCACTTTTCTCTCTGTGCTTTGATCCTATTTTTTGTTTTTTAAGCAGTAGTCTCCTGGTGAGTTTTTGTGTTGTCAGACTGCACACAGGGGTCAACAACGATCCCTTCTCTAAAGTGTTTACAGCTCACGCAGTGCAATATTACAGATTCATTCACCTCTATATCATGTTCTTCTTTTAAGTCATTGTTGAGGGATGTGGGATGACATTTTAAGGACTAGTTTAATTTCTAATGCAGTCATAATTTTTTTTTTTTTAAAATTTGTCTTATAAACCTGTTGTGTTATCTAAACATAATCAAAGATTAAAGGCAGATAAAATGATGGCATCACTATTTTCATCATTCTCGCCACATCAAAGGGACAGTGCAGCAATTTAATGTGCTTTGTAAAGTTGTGGCCACTCAGGCCAACATATCCCAGCCGTGCAGTTAGCTTTAAAATAGAAGTTTAAAAATCTTTCATAGAGTTGGTAAGTGCAATTGGACATTTTGGGCAGTCAAGAAAAAAACCCTTTTAAAAAGAATTCAAATTACTTCCCTGTTTACCAAAAGATTAATGAAGAATTTGACTCATATTCGCTGGGTTCATTTTGCATGGACTTAAAATGTTGTTGCATGCTCTGCCCTTAACTGTGGATCAAGTCACTTTGAACTAGAGTTCAAAACACAGTTCCAGCTGCCTTCTCCTCGATGGCAAAGGCAGCGGGAATTCATGGGCACTGTGGTATTTCAAGCCACACCTAAACAAATAGACTGAACTGTAAAATTTGTGGAGTGTCCCTTTAAATGTAAGATTAATCCTTCTGGGAAGCCTTTATGAGATGAGAAGTTGACAGAAAGTTGAAAAAAGGTATAATTTAAAGCAGGAGAGGGATGGGTGCAGTGCAGTGTGTATAAAATGTGGGTTAAAGATGTAAAAATCAGCAGAAGAAACTTTAGCATAAGTAGTATTTGAAAGAACCACGAGGAGTGCTTGATGTTTCTTGTTGGACTTTTTGACTTTTGAAGCTGTTCCAGCTGTCAGGTAAACCTGGTGGTTCAAAGCGCTTTTTTTCTGATACTTTTTTTCTTCATCTGCTGCCGACGGCAGACGGGACTTTCAGGCCTGTGGGTGTTTTTAAAGATTTCCTGTACCTGTATGTTTTTTTTTTTTCTTTTTGTACATTGAATGTTGAAAATGTTATATCTTATATAGAATGCATTAAATCATATCAAACCTACTTTTTCTATACAATCAATAAATCTGCAGTCAAAAAGATACTGTGATGATGGTGTGTTTCATGTTTCTTTGAATATTTCCTCTTGATCTCAAACAGCCCAGTTGAACTTCTGCAGACTTTTTTTCCTCTTTTCTCTCCTGAGTGCTTCTTCTTCACCTTTCGTAGGTTTTTACACCATTCTGCATTTATTCATTAGTTGTTCTCAGGCTCTATTCCTATACTCTGTTTGACCTGTCTTCCTCCACTCAGCCCCAAACAGTCATGGAAAATGACTGCACCTCCCTGAGCTTTGCACTGCTGGAGGTTTCCTTCTGCTCATAGTAATATAAATAAAACTGAATTGAATTCTGTCCTCTAGTTAAGTCGACAACACGAAAGCCTTTTCGTCCTCTTGTTGTTTTAGTTTACTGATTCTTTACCGTTGTTTTTTTTTCCCCCAGGAAGCTGCTTGTTTCCCATTGTCAGCAGAAAAGCTCTGCAGGGGCATCGGGCAGGTGTCCTCACAGACAGAAGCACAGTAAATGAGTCACTCAGAGTAAAAAGAAGCAATTCAAAACAGACAAGTTTAATGGGCATGAAAAAGGAGTTTTAATTTGAAGAATTTTTGCACATTTTCTCTGCACACCTGTATGGATTATCAAAAAAGGTATGCAGCATCACATGACATCAGTTCCCTTCATATCAGCCAGTAAATTGAAAGCTGCACTTGTCGGAATTCTTTCATATTTTGTGAAATACAAACACAGCGTCTGCTTATTAATGATATTTAGCTACAATGGATCAATGGCACTGATGCAGGCAGCAGCAGCCCGAGATTTAAATTTTTCGAGTTTTAAACTTGAAATCACTTTTGGTTTTTTCTATGAAATGTCCCTCATGATCAAAGTGAGAAATGATGACAAATTACAGAAGGTAGACCTGCTGCCTATCAATGTTTCTGTTTAAAAAAACAAGACAATATACTTCATGCTACATTTCATTCTGAAAACAGTAAATCATAATTTTCCACTTGGAGAGTGTAAATAATGTAGAAGGTTGTTTGTATAAAAGCTACACCTTTCTTGTGAAAAATGAACAAAGCTGCGAGTTACACATTGTTTTTTTTTTTCTGCTCTACAGTGTACATGTACAAATCACATTCTCCTAAATGAACCCCTGCTTTCAAATATTACCCTTGTCTACAACTACTGTACAGTCATATGTCAGGCCATACTCTCATACATTATATTTCAATTAGCATGGAAATTGAACTACAATATTTATAGAACAGACACAAAGTTGTTTATTGCTCCGTTCTGCTGTTTCCTAGTCTAAATTGCATCACAGTGATGCATGCATTTTACTGCTGCATCAGCTGGTGACAGGTCAATTATCATTTCTTGTCATCCAATAATTACATTGGCTTTGTTCTGATGCTTGAAATACCTCCTTGGTCCTCCCCAAGGTCTGCAATAGCCCACTCATCTCTCTCTCTCTCAGAAAAACACCAATCATGATAGGAAGGCCACTACTCAAGGGTCGTTTAATTTACTTGTTCCTGTTAGATTTGTTTCATTAAAGATTCTTCTGTAGTAGTGCAGGTATTGGGAACAAGTGTTGGAGTGTTTGTTGTCCATTTAAAACAACATTACTGGAACCTAATTTTGTGTTTTTGCGTTCTTATAATTCTCAGCTAGTGTCCTGTCAGTGACAGCTTTAGTGTTGTTTGTTACACTGAAATGTTGGATTAGATATCCTTGTCCTGTTGCCTAAGGTACAATGCTGTGCAAAAGTCTTGAGCCACATGTCATTCTTTATATTTTGTTTCAAAGTAGGCAGGCTTTATTGTAATTTTTCAAATTAGTCTGAGCAATAGTTCTCCAAACTTTGAGAGGTTTTTCAATTGTTTTTCTTTGGACCGTTTTGGACTGTCTTTGCTGTTTTGATTATTTTTGAAGGGCGGTCTTTTATAAAAAAAAAAATAAAAAAAAAGTACCTAACTCAAGAGATGAACCAGTGTAAGAGAGATTAGATAAGAGACGATTTAGCAAATTTAAAATCATATGTTTAGGCACATGATACAAAAAATGTCAAAGTTAACACAATCTGAGAGACACAAAATAGTATTTTTGCACCAACAAGGAGCGAAGGTCCGAAAGAACTTCTAGCAGAAAACTTGTCATATTTTGACATTGTGTGCAGTGTGAACTTAAGGAATTTGAGGAACTGGACAAGTGGAGGAAAAGTGGCAGTCCCAAACAAAAATCTGCAGCATATAAACAGCATCTTAAAGTCCAGCAAAGACCTGACACAGGGCAATGAGAGTTGTATGTGGCCTTTCAGCTGATCCATCTGTTATTCACTCCTTGACAGATACCCTTCCACTGCATAGTACAAACTCTGTTTTTGCCTTTTATTATGTATTTCCATGTATGTTTGCACAAGTTTAAATAAATCTATGCAGCTATTTCCCATTTTTCTAGCAAAAAAGAAAAAGAAAAAGAAAGAACCGGTGGCTTAAGACATTTGCACAGTACTGTACAGTACATTAACGTACTGCTTCTTTAAACATGTATTTTAAGAAATGTAGACCTCTGACAGTCTACCTACTGACAGAGAATCAGTTTTGCTGGGTGGGCGGCTGGTGAGGTTTACAGTTTCTGAGGCGGGAACAGGTGGCGAGGCGGTTTCCCTCCCAGTAACCAGCATCTTGGCCGTCGTGACAACGACACTTGGTGCAGGAGTCAACCCAGATGGGCTCTCCTGCAGGAATCACTTTACTGCGTGATCCATCAACATAGCAGTTAGGACCTTTGGGGAGAGGAGAAGAAGAGGTAATTGGAACTTAACAGATACTACACATAATCAGTCAAATGGATGGCATTGTGTAACTACACTCATCCCTATTTTAAACCAATTTTCAAAAACAAAACAAGACCACACTAAAGTGGGTCTAAATTACAACATTTGAAAACGATGCTCATATTATAAAAAAAAGATAAATGTCTTATAAATGTTCTTTCTGTGATGCTGTCTGTGAGTGTTTTTTGTTTTTTGTTTTTTTTTGTTTTTTTTAAACTTTCTACCCTTATTAAACTGTGTTTTTAACATACCCTCCTTGCATTCAGGGCAGCACTTCCCAGGCTGATAGACAGGGTTGACACATGGTGGAGGCGCACAATCTGCCACAAGACAGCGGGCAATGCCATCACTGTCACAAGTGCACTGCTCACATTCTGATGGCTGGAAAACACACACACACAGACACAAACACACACACACACTGAGACCCAGCAGGGATCATTTCCTAATCTCCTCGTGATGTAAATGCGGGTTACTCACTGCTAGCAAGCACACGATGTATGCACATGATTATGTATAATGGTATCCTTTTTAAAGCGTGTACTAATCCTCGTACCAACTCAAAAGGGGGCGCCATTTACCTCCAATTTATTACTGCATAATCATTACATACAAACGGATATGTGGTTTAGGCTTTAGTATTCATCAAAGCTCAACCTCATTTGGTTCTGACACATGCATTCAGAGACAACGATTGGGAACAATGGTTGCACAAGTGGGCGGCATGAAACAGACCAGAAGACCCAAAGTTTAAACACCAACTGGTGCTCCCCTGTGTTACTAGAATATCTCTATGATATTCAGATTATTTAGATAATAATTACATTTTAGAACTTCTATTAAATGTTGTTATTATTAGTGTTCAAGTCATTCTTTCGAATAATGTATTCTTATAATGTTCTTGTACACTGTTATTGTTGTGATGCATTTACAGTACAGTACAGTTACTACAGCTTTGACGTCGAAAAGATTTACTTAAATAATACTATTGACATAAGCGCACTAAGGTGCTTCATTTTAGGATGACGATGCTGACATTTTCACTTGTAGGCCATTTTCTAAATAGTTGCAGCTACTTTGAGCACTATTCTTACAAAACTAAACTATTATTGATGGACGTCTCAACCAATGCACACCTGTGACCCTCTTACATTTTCTTCATAGCCTGATGATTTACAAACGTCTATCAAAGTAAATATAGAAAAAGTGTAAAAAAAAAAAAAAAATGGTGGAAATTTTTAGGCCTTTAACAGACAAGTTTTTAGACCTTTCCAATAGGTTATGTTTATTTATGTGGCACTGACTTACCTGGAAGTTCTGTCCTAGCTCGTACACCACCCCTCGATACTCGCACCCAATTTTTTCACACCTGGGGCAGCAGTCGGTGGGGTAGTGGCTAACGTGGATACATGCAGCTGGGAGAGAGGTGCATTCAGTGCGGGCACACACGGAGCCCTCAGCGGTGCACTCACATTGAGTGCAGTGATCAGAGTCCAGGAAATACCATTCTCCCATGTAGTATATGCTGCCATTGGCCTCGCAGGTGCTCTCCTGCTGTCCAGCGACCGAAAAGCCGAAACAAGCCTGCGCGCAAAGTACGAGTGCCAGAAGGACGGTGCGTATCCCGCGCGCTAAGGAAAGGCGCTCTCTCACAAGCTTTTCCATAATCTAGCTGATTAATCCAAATGAGTAAAAGTTCGTTAGTGAAGGGAAACTTGCACCGTAGTCCTACTTGGGTTTAGTAGAGCGATCAACCAAGATTTGAAAAAAAAACAAAACAAAACCTTTTCTTCGTTAGATTGTTAAAAACAAACCCCCCAAATCCTGAACCTCTCCACAGCGGTCTCCCGGGTCTGCGCACACTTTTGCAAGGCAAGGAGTCCGGAAGGGAGTGGAGGCTGGGAGCATAAGGGGGAAAGTTTCACTGCTCTCATCAGAGTACATGCTTGCCCTTAACGTTACTAAGCTGAAACCTGTCCCTCCCTAGTTTAACACGCACGACTTCAGCCTCCTACAAGAGTTCTTCGTGGCCTTGTGTGATACTTGAAGCCTACTGCGCCTTAAATTTGCTCTTATTGTGCTTTATCTGTTTAGTCTTGTGTTTATTTTTATTTTACAACAGACCAGGTTTACCTGGATTTAATGTCTTACATTTCGTCATCCCACCATGTATTTTGTTTAGTGCTTTATTTTAAATTAAATCAACTCTTAAGCCAATTTTAAATAAAACGAATTAAAGGATTTAGCATTTTTTGTAGCTGAAAGATAAACTTCTAGACCACTCGAACAGGTTGCTTGTTTGAGTGCAGTCTCAGTGTTAACGGTTCAGACAAATCTCGCGATATCTCTCCCTAGCAACTCAATTGTTATCCTTAGATACCATAGTCTCGCAAGCTCAAAGCGCACCAAACATCGAAAAGGTGAGCCTCTCTTCCTCTTTGGCTACAGTGTTTTTTAAAACACATTTGGTAAGTAGGTTTCACACAGCGTGCTTTGTATCGTTTAGTGTTAAAATGTGTGTGAAACTTACATTACACTGGTTTAAACGAGCTCCTTCTTTCTGCTCCTGTCAAGTCATTTTCAGTTGTGCGGCTAAAGTTTATTAAGTCAGCGGGCCCGTTTGGTTTGAAACATGGCAGCACCATTTGCCAGGAAAGAAAATACTATGTAGTACTGCTGACGTTAATTACATAACGATAATATTTTTATTTTATTTTGGTGTTATTTATGAAAATGAAAACAACAAGCAACAAAAGACTGCAAATATTTGGCCAGAAAGGTATAGCCTGAAGTTTTAGCTTATTACCCAGTTTGATTCTTCTACTCCATTCCCCTCCTACTTATAAACTACAAGAAATTACTTAAATAGAAGCTTCTAACAAAGTGAAGTAGGCAAAAAGAGCGCAAAAAGCAGCACATCATGTCACGATCTAAAGCAGGAGTGTCCAACTCCAGTCCTCAAGAAACAGCTGAGAAACAAAGTCATTGACATCTATCAGCCTGGAACGGGTTACAAAGGAATTTCTAAGGCTTTGGGATTCACGGTGAGAGCATTATTCACAAATGAAGAAAACAATGATAAACCTTCCCAGAAGTGGCCCGTCTACCAAAATTACTCAAAAATGCTGCTGATGTCTCATCTCACATTTGCAACAAAAACAAAAACCCATCTTGATGATTCCCAAGTGTTTGTGTAAAATGTTACGTGGACAGACGAGCCTTTTGGAAGGTTTGAGTCCTGTTACATCTGGCGTAAAACTAACACAGCATTTCATAAAAAGAGCGTCATACCAACAGTCAGACATGATGGTGGTAGTATCATGTCTGCAGCTGCTTTGCTGCTTCAGGAGCTGGACGACTTGCTATAAATGATGGAACCATGAATTCTGCGTTCTACCAGAAAGTCCTTTAGGAGAATGTTGACCATCAGTTTGTTATGCAGCAGGACAAAGTGTTGTAGTCAATACCTGGACTGTATATATGTATAAATAAATTTATTATATACATTGGTTACCTGGAACATTTAAATATTACAAATATGAGGGGTATAAAAGAAATCAGGAAGGGGGCAAATACCTTTTCACACCAGTGTATGTTGTTATGTTCCACAATAATTTGTATTCGTTACTCTTAGATTGCCATTCACATGCAGTCACCTGATGAAAGCCAGGTCTGGGGCCCTGGCCAGTCCCTATGGGGCCTGATCGCTGAACATGTTTCTGAGTCAGAGCTGCCAAAGATCTACACCGCACTGGGCCATTCCTTGGTAGATGTGTACACGGACATGCACACTGAGGTGAGAGAAGTTTTATAACTCCAGTGTTTGATGTCTTCTGTCTGCATACAGTACCACAACACCTGGTTTGTAAGTTGGAAGGTCCCTCTTCACAGTCAGCAGATTGTTTCATCATTCATATGGTTTTATTTCTTTGAGGAATTCACGCTGGGTCTGTTTCTAGCAGGATCTAACAAAAGTACTACCGCAACTTCTGCAAGAATTTCCTTTTGGGCAGAAGCAAATCAAAAAATTGCTCAGCTAAGCATTCCTAGCCAAACAATTTAAGGACTCTGGTTTAAGGCTGTGTAAGTAGGTTAGTTTTGCTGCATATATTCATTACTTACAATTCCCAGACTCCATAATAAAAGTGAAATGTGGGTTAGCTGGCACGGCGCCACAATGAGATCCAAATGTGAGCCAGACAGACTTCAATATTTATTCCAGAGCAGCTAAACTCTCAGACCTACAGGGACTTGAAATGGCTCACAACTCATTAAACAAGCACATTTAAAATCAAGACTGAGGTGAAAATGTTCATTAAAAGAGGAAAGGTTTTGAGAAGATTCAAAGTGAAACATGTCAGGGAAGAAACTGTGACTTCCTGATACTCATTAATAAAAAACTGTGAAGAACTGAGAAATGTAATTATATATTCATTCAAATTGAAATATCTTATTCCAGCTTTCATACTGTGGCTTGATGTGATACAACCACTGAACCAAAGCTGTGGTAAAACATATTTCTATTGTCTGTCCTTTTTTTCTTTCTCAAATAATGAATTCTTAAAAAACACTTTTTTTTCTAATAAGTGCATCTGGCTCTGTGGACATTTTTGCCTCAGACATGTAGACCCCTGATTAGAGACAGCAGTGCACTCCGTGAGATGGATAAAACCTGTGTCAAATCAACTCGTGGAGCCATCCACTGTGGCGACGCTTGGGAAATAAGGGATCAGTCAAATGTACCTTCCAAAAAAAAAGTGCAAAGTCAGGGCATCATATGTCTTCTTTTTCCCTAAAAAGCAACCAAACACCTCAATAAAGAAAATATAAAGAAAAATAAAGAACTGTAAAAAATAATTTCTAATGAATCTATGATCAGCTGACTAAAGAAATAAGTGAAAGCTGAAACACTCAAATGACAGGCCTCAGACAGACAGTCGTGCTTCTGCACTTAAGATCAAGTTTGTATGCTTTCTTTTCACCACCTTCTGAGGAACAGAAATTTCTCGTGCTTGGCTGTTTATTGTCTGGACTTTTCCAGTTTCTGAGGTGTAACTGAGCAAGACAGTGAAGACAAACACCTTGCAGTGGCAGCATTTGGTGTGTGTTAATGAATGAATGAGAAACACTGCACATGCTTTGTAGAGCCTCTGAGGTTAAAAGCCACTACTAAATGCAGACCATTCACTCTTTACCAGCTTCTTTCTTCTGCTTGTTTAGTACTAAAATCTTTCCATGTGTTGGTCAGCCCTCCTTCCCATGCCGTGCCCCAATGGTTCAGTCACTGCTCACACAAAAAAAAAGAAAAGGAAACCACCTGGATGTGGTTTAACTCGGTCTGCCATGTAGATTCTTACCACATATAATATTTGTAGCAGTTTCTATGTGAAATCCACACGACAACTGTACGGCATGCAGGTACTCCTTCTCACTACTGCAAAATAATTCAGCATATGCACAACCCCACACACACTATATACACACAGAAAGAAGCTCAGTAAGCTGAGTCACTCAGGGGGTCGGTATAACAGGGTTAAAGAGGCTAATCCTCAACTGTTGATAAGACTGTTAGCTACATATAATTTGACTCGACTGTGTGTATGTGTGCGTCAGCTTTGATTGTGCGCCTGTACCCTTGCACGTGTATGTGTGTGTGACTTTGAGTATTGCTCTGATATTTCTTCATCTACAGTTCAGTGTGTCTGACTCTAAAGCCTCCAGGTGGAATAACAGACTTGAGGCTAAAAGCTCTGAGAATTTTTCAAGAAAAATAGAGCAGAGAGGGCCTTATCTGACTGTCACACAAGTGCATTCAGGTTTTGATTCAGTCGTTACATTTACTTTAAGATGGATCACTTTCATTTTTCTCTCCACGGCTCTCTGTATGTCTTTTCTTTCTCTTTTCTGTCTATGTTTCTCTTGCAGCCACATAATGCCTTCCATTCCTCAGTGAGCCACTGTGAAAAGTAATAGCAGATCTGCAGGTGTCTCCATTCCTCAGCGCTGCCATTCCTCCCTCCATCAAGGCCCTCATTGTCTAAGGCGGCAGGATCAGAGAAAATATTAGACTCTCCCTATAAGGCCCGATCTCTCCCTGAACTCTCACTTTCACTCTGTTTTTCTCTCTTTAAGCTGAATGAAATCCATCCCCAAAGTTAAATATTTTCAAAAACCCAATTTAAGTAGTTCAGCAAAACTGAAACGTTTCACCGGTGTTTCCTTGAAATAGCATTTGGATGAGATTGGCTTACTGTTGAGGAAAAAGGGAAAAACATCCAGGGACAACTCATTAGCCAGTGAGCCATGAATCCTTTAATATAAACACCTCAACACCTAAAGGCACATGGCGGAACCTAGTGTGTTTGTATGTGTTCACCATGATAGGGTGTAAATGCTGGCGTTACGAGAGGATGTGCACACACACACACATACACATGCAAAGACCAGAAGTGCTATGTTTAATATCCTTCTTTTGAAGTAAAGTCTTTGCAACATGACAGAAATGATTGGCAAGCAACAGGTGTCAAGGTGCTAATGGGATCCAGACTTCACTGAGGCACGAGCATTCACACGCGCTACAAAGAATAAAAAGGTTCTTGGCCTCAAAATGAACAGAGGTGTTTGTCTAATTTTCAGCCCAAGACATATAGTAGCCAGTGTGGTATGAAAGCATGCTAACGGTGTATGTCGTTTTCAGATTTATATCGATTTTTTTTTTCTCCTTTGTCCCTGTGGATGTAGAAGTTGTATTTCTTCCTGTTCCAAGAAGACTGTCAACTGTGCACAACAGTTTACAGTAAACAAGCTCTTCTTGCATCAGTGACAGCCAAGAAAATGTCTGCTCCTTGTAGTATTTAGTATTTGCACTGTCAGTGGAAATATTTATCTGTCCCTCAGTTTAGCAGATTCTTTTTTCAGTGTAGAACTTCTGAGTCACTGTAAGGGAAACTACTTGTATCCTTACATTGAGTAAATACTAGTAGATTACCTTTAAAGTAAC